AAATATATCTTGGGATATGAGGCATTAGATCCAGAGCTAATATATACAGTATATGTATATAGTGTTAGCTCCTGAGCTAATGCTAAACATAACGTTTAATCGTTTCAACCCAAATATTGTGCAGAACATAGAAACTATTACAAAATGGACATCCTCAAAATGCATTGTGTCAGTGACAAAATGGTGACGTGCTTTAGAGAAAAAAAAAACTTATAGAGTTTTCACAGTAATTAGATGTTTTTATGTGTTATAAACAGCAACTTTTAGTAGAACAGAGGAACAACTTAAGGCCAACATGTGCAACTAGTCTGAGATCCTTTTAAGGTTTCAACAGCTTCAAATCATTTCTCTTCAAAGGTTTTATTAATGACACTCTTTCACGTTTCATCCGAAAACCCATTTAATCACAGCTGCTTTAATGGACTCTGATGGGAAGTTTAATCTGGGGGAGCTCCTGCAGGCGCCTCGGGGGAGCTCCTCCGTCTCCTCGCCTCCCATCCATCACTCACCTTGTCGGAGTAGATGGACATGCGGGTGGTGAGCCCGACCACGGGGATGCGGTAGAAGCCCGCGGTGTAGGAGACGGGCGTGGGAGTGAGGTGGTCGCTGGACTGGGGCGGGTGACTCACCAGGATGGCGTAGACCTGCAGAGACAGGGAGGAGGAACAATCCATCACYGTGACACAGCCGGGACGACACGCCGCAGATTTATTTCTCCTGCTTCTCCTCGCGCAGAAACAGAGAAGCAGAAGATTTAAAAACTCTCCGCCGTGTCCCCTCGCACTTCGTCTCCACTGAGTCAGTTTTTCTTCTAATCTTTTAAAGTGGTTTGAATCATGAGTTTGTCAGACTTTCTGAAGGTCCTTCAGAGTTTTCTTTTGGAGTTCAGCTTCTTTCTCGTTATTTCAGCTCAATTACATTGTGCTAAAAAGTGAGAGAAATGGACAAAAACTAGAACCGTCACGCTCAAAACAACAGTTTCTTTCTGTTTTTCCGTAGATTTAACTACAAATGGGAACAAGTTTTTGTGATAAACTATTGGTAACAAATTCGTTATTTGGATTAATTATGGTTTTAACCRTTTTCTTGTAATGTTTCTTCTTTATTCTGCTTCCCACAACTGTCACTAATCTACGACGGAGTATTAGAGCCACAACGAGATTTTTTTTAAATTACGAGAATAAAGTCATAATATTACAACATTAAGGTTGTATCAAAATAAAGTCATAATATTATGAGATTAAAGTCATAATATTACGAGATTAAAGTAGTAATGTTACAAGATTAAAGTTGTATTATTACAAGATTAAAGTCGTAATACTATGAGATCAAAGTTGTATTATTATGAGATTAAAGTCGTAATATTACGAGATCAAAATTGTATTATTACGAGATTAAAGTTGTATTATTATGAGATTAAAGTTGTATTATTACGAGATTAAAGTCATAATATTACAAGATTAAAGTCAAAATATTACGAGATTAAAGTCGTAATATTACGAGATTAAACTTGTATTATTACGAGATTAAAGTTGTATTATTACAAGATTAAAGTCGTAATACTATGAGATTAAAGTTGTATTATTATGAGATTAAAGTCGTAATATTACGAGATTAAAGTTGTAATATTACGAGATAAAAGTCGTAATGTTACAAGATTAAAGTCGTAATATTACGAGATTAANACAAGATTAAAGTCGTAATATTACGAGATTAAAGTTGTAATATTACGAGATAAAAGTCGTAATGTTACAAGATTAAAGTCGTAATATTACGAGATCAAAGTTGTATTATTACAAGATTAAAGTCGTAATACTATGAGATTAAAGTTGTATTATTATGGGATTAAAGTCGTAATATTACGAGATTAAAGTTGTATTATTACGAGATTAAAGTTGTAATATTACGAGATTAAAGTTGTATTATTACGAGATTAAAGTCGTAATACTACAAGATTAAAGTCGTAATATTAGGAGATTAAAGTCATAATATTATTAGAATAAAGTCGTAACAGAAAATATAGATGGAGGACAACAGAGCTGCTTCATGGAAGAACAACCTCAGTTTAGCCTGTTAGCTTTAGCATTAGCCCCAACGCTATCACTATATATGTGTATTAGCTCAGCGCTACACATTCTCCTCTCGTCACTGAGGTCCTCCATCCACATGACAGAGAGGGGAACGCAAATATGACAGCCTGTAACTGAAAATATGGATGGAGGACCTCAGTTTAGCTTGTTTGTCGCACTAGCACCGAGCTAATACATGTAAGGAAATATAGCATCGACGCTAGCGCAAAGGCTAACAGGCTAAGCTGAGGTTSTTCTTCCATGAAGCAGCTCTGTTGTCCTCCATCCATATTTTCAGTTCCAGGCTGAGTCATTTCTACCTTCTCCTC